GTCAGCTCGGAGGTTGTATGTTCTCCAGCAACAAGTAAGAACCAATTTTGGGGTATAGAACCAATTCCTTTAAAATTGGCATGTACAGTAGCTAGGTTGTTATGATGATTTTAACAGAAATGAACTGAAACAAGAGATCTTGGTCAAGAGGTCCCTGACAGTGTCTTTGGTTTGGATGTGAATGATATTACTAATCTCGCTAATCATTAGATAGAGATTTGAGTAACACTTTTGGAAAGTTTGGGCTTTCATTCAGGTGTTACTTTCATTGAGATTTATATTTCATTTATAGATATTCTGACTGACTTTTCCCCTTCTCTTCCTTTTTTGATAAACAGGTAAAAGAAATTCAGGATGATTTAGACAAATTGAGTCCTCATAAAGTCAAACATACTAAAAAGGTAGGAAGTAATTATCATTCAGGCTGCCACTCATTTACTGATAGATTTTTTTTTTCTCAGTAAATTGCATTTGTCAGATTTCAAGTTAGCTGGGGTATACCTGATCCCTCTCCAGAAGGGAGTTAGGTGGTCTGCATGTGTTTGTTTTGTATCTTGCATCTTTTGCTCCATTATCACAGAAATATGGCTTGCTTGATCTGATATTGCTTTTGCTGTTTCGCTCTTTTCCTCAGAGCAAACTGGAGATGAAAAGGCTGTTCTTCTCTACTTTTGTGCTGCTTCTAAACTCTCCTTCATTCCACTTTCATTTCTGAATAACATTGCATTCTCCTATTCACTGCTTTTTAAAGTTTCTGTTGATGTCACTTAGTCTTATTGGTTGTCCTTTCTGATATTCTTGTGTGTTTATTATCTTTCACAAAGTTAATGCTGTGATGATGCCTACTGTCTGGCCAGTATTGTCTTGTTCTCTTGTGCTTTTCCAACATTTGTATTTTCTCTGGAACAAAAACTTTGAGGGGTGGAGACTTCCTTGATTTTTAAAATGATTGTCACATTGGAGTTAGTCTTATGGCTAAACTCTAGGCATAGAGTAGTAGAAAGATATTATAACTATACTAGTTTAACTGATGTTAGCACAATAGTTGGTATATGGTCTTATGTATTATCTTTAGTAGGCTGCTTGTTGCATTTTGTCTCAAGCAGCCTCATATTCATCAGAACAATCACAATTCTGAGTATTTTGCCATGAAATTCTGGCATTAATTCTTTGAGTAGCAGCATTTGTAGAAACTACAGTTATTCAAGCATGTGTTTGTTTTCATGTCCTAGTCTCGAGCAATATCCAGATTGGCTGCAGCACACAGAGGAGCTATACGAGCCTTGCAGACGTTTGCCAATCAATTTACTGATCAAAGAGAACAGGTTCCTACCCACTATAAGGAACTGGGCAGTCTCATTCGACAACTGTCTCTCTGCTCTGCCAAACTAGAAATGGACTCCTCTCTTTCTGACACTATCATAGATATCCTGCTACAAGTTGAGGTAGGAAAAAAACACTTCATTTCTCATGAGGCAGAAGGGACATGGTGAAATATTTGACTGTAAACTATATTGGGTGTTCGTGAATTGGCAAAATATCTTATTGATATAAAAGTCATCTTCTTTTCTAATGTATACAATGCAATGTTTGGTTTTTTTCTAAGCTAATGATGGTCTAAAATGAGGTTGTGTCTTATACACCAGAGCTACCTGCTGCATTTTCTGTTGATGCTGTTTCTTTATTGGCTGTCCTGCTGGAATAAAGCCCGCTAGTTATAGCGGTAATGGAGCACCAGCGTCTGATTCATTTGTCATTTTCAAGGCTGAAAGGAGTGCACTTTATCTAATGCATTGAAAATTATGTATTTATTTTGTTTAGTAGTGCATGTTTTATTCCTAAGGATAGTGATGAGTGTCTGCCTTCCTGTTGTGTGCCGGAGAAGTATTTGGTCAGAAGATGTAGCTACAAGAATTTATTAAGCTCTATGCGCTTCAAATGATTTGTTACTAATATTTGATACTTTAAAAACATTTTTGATACAATAAAAAAGCTGTGATTCACCTTTTCTGCTAACGTTTCCAAATTAGAGATGTGTTTAAAAAAAAAAAAAAAAAACTGCATAACCTAAACTGTTATGAAATCAGTATTTAAATAAGTGATATAACAGTCATGAGATTTTCTGCACCTTAAAATATTACTCTAATTTTAAGAGCTATGCATGTATGTCTTTTGTTCTGAATTGCTTATAAAAAGATTAATATTTTTAATTGCCCTGGAACACAAAGGGAGGCGGCACTATTTAAGACCATGTTTGTTACCGAAGAAGTCCTTAGTCATCCTGTAGTCATGTATGGTCTGTAGCCTTTGTATCAATTTCTTTTTGAACATGCCATGAACAGATAGTTTACTAGAGCCATTTGTAAAAACAAAAATGCCAGCCTGTTCTGTAGGATTATTGATTATGTGAAGAAGCTTCTGGATGAATAACTATCAGGATAGGTCACCTTTTTAAAAAAACAACCAACCAAGGGGGAAAAAAAAAAAGGGGGGGGAGAGAGAGAGAGAAGATTAAAACTTTGGGGCATTTTGCTTTTTTACTATTTAGAATCCTTTGAGGTTTGTTTCTCCTTATTCTCATTACTTAATTAAATAGTAATTTAATTATAAATATTTGGTACAGGATCTGGATTCATTGCTGGAAAAGAAACAAACACCCAAAAAAGCAAAGAAATATCTGTCAGCATTTCAGGGCAAATCTCCAGGGAGCAATATGATATTTCCTGCCAGAAAGCGGCTTAGGTCTCCAAGAGGAGAAAAGAAACCTCTCGTCTTAAAGAAGCAGCTTGGACAAGAACCTAGAAAACCTTCATCTACCAGGAGACTCTTGATTGGTTTGTATTCTGAATTATTAAATAACTTTTTATCAATTAGCTTACCCCAGTGGCAGTTGAATTCTGTGGTACGTTACATATTGCTCCCAAAGGTATAATAATTGGATTCTTGTAGCCTTGCTATGCAATTTTTTTTCAGTTGTTTCTCTGGCATGGTAGCCCTGCAGGTTTATATGTCTGTTTTTATGACTATTCTGTTATTATTTAAATCATGTCTCTTGCTGCCTAAAAGATATGATGTTATCAGTCCTTAGACCACAAGTCCCTGTAGCTGCCAGTGTACGTACTGTGTACATTTGTGTGTATTTATGTATATATAATTAACAACAAAAAAAAAATCTTTGGTACAACAGGATTGTGTAAGGAAATTATTACCAGGAAATAACAAAACTTATAAAATTTCAATATTACGATAGAACTTTACATTTTGTGATTAAATAGCACAACAAAAATTACAAATGTAGACATAAAGTTGGATTTTGTCCCTTTGTGCTTGAAGTTTTTTTTTTTTCATACAGACAAACATGACTTTGCTGCAAATGTTTCAGCAATTCCAAAGACAAACAGTCATGTTCATGTATCACAGAGTGAATTCCAAGAAGAAAATGACCCACCAACTCCAGAGAAAAATGCCATTTTACAAGGAAGCTTAGATGCATTGTCAAGAGCTGGAGCTGTAAAAAAAGTTCCCATGCTTGAAAATGGCCCTTTGAGGAAGAAAGGGGCATTGCTACCAGCAAAATCAAAGGTATAGATGTGATGAAATAATTTATGCTTTCCTCTACTTGTTCTCTGGGATTTCTTTTAAGATACTGCTAGGCTTTGTGCTTCCTCAGAAATATCGGAATTCTGAATAGGGGAGGAATAAGGAAGCAAGTCTTGTGTTATGAACTTTGAAAGTATTGTTATTGTTCATTAGAAACAAGGAAAACATTCTCTGAAAGCGTTTTTGTGTTAAAAAATATCATAGTAGCTTTTCAATTTGGCTTTAAAGCTGTGATCTTTTCTTTCTTTCTTTTTCTTAATGGTAATATGAGGATATAAATGAAGCAAATTTTGCCTCATTGATTACAGAAATTATATAATTTCAAGAAGACATTGTGTGTTTTGATAAATCTCTCTTGTAGCCAGCAAGAGATTTCTGTAATGGAAACAAGGAGTTTCTTTAGAAAATGTTTTCAAATACAAAATATTTAGTTACATTATTTTAAGGGATTCTTGAAAAAACAGATTTTGTATAGTAATATGGATGCATAAATATCTATTTTACTGCTTTGCATATTAGTGTGAGGACTGTGAGCATCAAAGTTAAGCATTTCAATAATTCATACCGAAGGAGGTAGTTTGTCTTTGTAGGAAATATAAGTAGAATAATTTTATAATTTCATGATTGTAAAAAAGTTATCTTGGAAACTTTCTGTTTTGATCTGTTCAGAGTTAAGAGTCTAATTCTGAAAATCTCAGAAGTATTTCTTCCTGTGAAGAGCAATATGCAAAATATGGAACTATTTTTAACAATCACAGTTTTGGGATTAAGGACATTTTCTGCCAGAGCATAGTTGTAACCCACCTTATATCAGCTGCAAACCCTCTGCATTTATTAGCTGTGCAATAAAGCCATCAGTCATGAGTTCAAGACAAATTCTGAAATGGAATTCAAAATACTTAAGAGATAGAGAAGAAAATATCAAAAGCAGAGATGTATGTTTTTAATGCGATTGTGTTAAAAATTAAAGGGAGTGCCTAAACCTGTAAAATCAAGACAGGCACAACGTCAAGGAAAGCGTGCCCGGTTTCAAGAGACAACTGTAGCTTTCCAACTGAAAGAGACCAAACGACAGGTTAAGGAGAGCAGAATACCCTGGGTACCTCCAAGCCCTACATCTCCACCTGCTTCACCAAAACGGTATGTCCACAGTTTAATGCAATAATGTTTGCTATGAATAAGCTTTAAAACTTTTAAACTTTTAAAACATGTAGAGGAAAAGGAGTGCCATTAATATTTTCTCCTATTTATAGTGCTGTCAAGACACCCAGGAATGCAAGATCTAGTGAACTCATTGCTAACTCAGCTTCACGTAAAGAAGAAAGAAGACTAGGTTTCATGGAAAAAGAAGCTCTTAGGTTGACATGGATACTCATAGGAAATATTTTTCTATCTGAATTTTTCTTATATGTATATATACATATATTTTTTTTATATGGAGTTGAGATTTTGAGGATAAATAGTCAATATTTTTTATAGTTAGGTAGGGGTCGAAGGGTTTGTTGCTGCTGGGTTTTTTTGTTTGTGTGTTGTTTTGGGGTTTCTGTAAATGAGCATTGAAAGAATTGGAGAACTGAGTTTTACACAAAATTCCTAATAAGGTTAAATCCATGATAAGAATATGTATTTGAGTAGTTCATTATGAAAGAAAGAGACATCAGGATCACAGTTTCATTATGTAGTTGTTACAACGTGCATTTTGTAACTTCCTTATAGCGCTGTTTTATTTGTGAAAACTAGCATGGTTTGAGGCAGAATCTTCAAGGAGAGTGAAATTTCTAACTGACCTTAGTAAGGAAGAAATATAAAAGCAAAAGCTGACGTAATTACTTATTTGAAGAACTGATAAATGGAAAAAAAGTTTTGGTATCAGATCTGATAAAGCCTCCCCATCTCCCATCCTCCCCCCCAACAAAATGGATTACTTGTTATGATTACTTTTTTTGTCATACAGTATTTCAGAATGACTTTGTTTTTGGTAGGTCACAGGGTGCTTCTCCAGTCCAGTTTGCTGACAAAGTTGAGAGCACAGTACAGGAGCACTTAGAACCTCTTTTGGACAAGGCACAGGTAGTATAGTCAAAAGCTCATGCAACTGAAGGATTAATTTAAAGCTATAAAACATTTTGGGGGGGGCAACACATCTATTCTTTTGCAACTTAATGGAAGTAAGCAATTTTTGGGAAAAAAAATCATATAAAATTGTTTATGTATTCAACAAAATTTTAGACTTTTGGAGAGTGTGTTTCTTTTTCAGCGTGAGGTCCTTGAATTATTGTAATAAATTTTTGCCATTAATTTTCAGATTATTTTCTGATAAAGTAGATGCATTTTAAATTGTTTTTGAATGGTCATAATAATTTCATCTTGAGCATAACTGAACTTGATAATAGTATTTTAACAATTTATATTAAGCTGTATTTAATGGCTAAATATAATCTGTACTAGTAATGCTGCAAATGTGATTATTATGAGAGGATTTATGTTTTGTTAGAAAGTCAATCTCTGCTCGGAAACAAACAGTCCTTTGAAGGATTCTTTATTTATAAGCAAGCACTCATGCAGCTGAATTCTATCTGTCATGCCATAAAATATAGTTTGAAATTTCTGATTTTTTTTTAATATTTGTTATATAATAGAATGATTCTGGGAAAATAATAATGAACTTTTCCCATATCTGTTGATTTTACGGGTAGAAACATGTAGAAACATACTGAACTTCAATCTGTTATTTGGATTTTCATTGAAGTAGAATGTTAAATATTGAATGATAATTGGATTATTACTGTAAGCAGCTGCTTTTAGAAATATTTTATGTATAAACACTTTTTTCACCAGAATTTCTTTCTCCAATGGATTTTTTTTTCTTTCAATTAGCAGGTTGCAGCAAATGCAGATAGACTGAGTGAAAAACTATTAGATGATCTTTTGGAAGATACTGCTCAGGAACTCTGGAGCATGGAGCACCAGGAGAGACTGCAGCTGCCTGCTTCGGCTGTGGCTGAGTGTCCTAGTTTGGAAGCAATGTTGCAAAAGATAGAAGACATTGAAGTAAGCCTTTGTCTCTCACCTGGTCTCAGTGTTACCAGATTGCTCTCCTTAAGTTGTGGATGTCAGCAGTTTTTGTACATTCTTTGGTGAAGCAAGGTCTGACTGAATCACTGTGTGAACTGGAAGGGCTCGAAGGAGTTTCTATTTCCAGCTGAAAATAGAGTGAGAACAGAAGCATGTTTGGCCTATGGGTTTTTTTGCTAGCTTTGCAGTTGGTAGACCTGAGCTTGCTTCCCACCTCAAAGTTCTGTGGCTTAGATGGTCAAGAAAGTCAGTATGGTGATTGCTACATTGTTGATTGTTCTCACATTTGGAAAAGTTTGAATAATTGTGAAATTTTTTTGAGTGTTTTTGATACAAGGTCCTAGTATTCCAGTAGCATGAGCGCTTCAAGGACATCTGCCATGGCAATCCAAAGTATATATTACAGGAAAATGTGGTGAAGTCAAACAGATATGTTAGTTAACTATGCTTCTCTTTATCCCCCTTGCTGTGTAAATTTTAATGAGGTTGTCATTTGGTTGCCTTGATCTTTCTCATATGTTGTGCTTTTCATTTTTTTCTTCAATTAGATTTCATTAGATTTTCCATAGTTCTTTGGTTCGAGTCTCATTCCTACCTCCTACTTTAAGCAATTTATCCTAATCTGGAACTACTGAGCTTAGTGCCATTTAGTTCTAAGATGGAGACATAAAGCTTAAATTATGCAGTATCTTTATCCATATAAGACTGAACATTTAAGTATATATTTGAATTTACTGTTATTGGTGGTAGAGCAGGACAGACAAATGGGCCATCCGGTTCTCCGTTATTTGAACAGTTGCTGTTTATCAGAGGTGGAAGTAGTTGCAATTGTACTAGCAACTGATTGAGTCTTAAACTGGCATTTTGACCAAGATTATCTGTGATTCCTGTGTCTCATATACACACAACCTTTTCTGTTTTAATTTAACTGCAGAAAATAATCCTGCTTTGATTAGAAAAGATTATGGCCAGCTTTCATATGAGGTTATCACTAGCCCAGCTAAACTGTTAAATACTTGCTGATTTATTTATTTATATATATATTTTTAAAGAGATATCAGGAAGCTGTACGTAGGAGACTTACCCAGATTGTGTACAGTGATTTGGAGTTCTGGGCTCAGGAAGAGAAAAAAGGTAAGTGTCTTTTTAACGTAAATTACTTTTTCTGTAGTCTCTGGCCATAAGTTCTACTCTTTTAAAACCAAGATTATTGTATTATGTGTAATTACCAGATAGTGAGGTGAGGATCTGATCACACACTGACTTTAATTGGGCTGTTTTACCTCAGCTGAAAAGTCTCATAGTAGGGCATGTGAAGATTTGACTTAAGTCAGGTGTGTGTGTGTTGGGATTTTTTTGTTTTGTCTTGTTGGGAATTTGTTTTGTCTTGTTGGGAATTTGTTTTTTGGTTTGTTTTATATCTTCTAGTTAGGACCAAACTTATGTAGACTAATTTTAGAGTAGTATTCTCTCTCTTTTTTGTAGAAGTAGCACACATATAAAAAAAAATCTACAAAGGGTTTCTGAAATGCTTATCTTTAGCACACTGAGCTCTTGGAAATGTCAATTTGAATTTACATTTTAAGGGCTTTTATCTGTCTGAAGAACTTGGACTTAAAAGAAGCCATACTTTCTGCAGATGTATTTGCATAAAATGTTCTTTTCTCTTCCAAGGAAACAAGCTTTAATGTTATTTTCTTTGTTCTAGAACAGCAAAATATACCAATAGCTAAAAGTCCTACCTCTCCACATCCAATTCAAATAACTAAATTAATTGGACAGAAAGAGCCAGAAATATGCATTATATCTGAAAACCCTTTTAATGGCAAGTAAGTAGAATATTCTACCCTATACTAAACTGAGATGCATTTGAGTTGTGCATCTTTGTTATAGTGTTTTCATAAAAGAAAATTGTGATTGCTATTTGACTAGACTTTGTCTTTGAAAAACATTTTTTCAAAATCAGGTTCTGAATTAATGACTGTTTTCATTTCCAGTGCTGTTGATGAAAACAAAACATCAGAAGAGAAAATGCAGCCTGGAAGTGACATTCTGCAGCCCTTGAGTCGAAGTATGTCTCTGCAAAATGAGTGCTACGTTTCTCTCTCTGTTCCAAAGTCTATGTTCCAGAGCATCTTGGATTATAACAATACATACAAGCACCACCTAAAAATCATCTCCCATGAGGCAGTAGGCACTTTCAATCCATGGCAGATTGCTGAGAGGTACATGAACTATCTTTGTATTTGTGAAGTGACTCTATCAGCAGATGAACGTTTTTTTTCTGACTTTATTTAAGGAAGGAGTGGGGAGGGAAAGGTTCTGTCGAAAGCCCGAGTAGTCAGCTATTGGACTGCTTCTCAGCTGGTACTTGACGTTTATAGATTTTTAAGATTTTCAGAGAGAATGAAAGCATATAGGAGCAGAATGTTCTGAGGGAGTTAGTGTTTTTCACATATTGCGGTGTTACCACAAACACAACTGTGCGACAGTTGCTTATAAGTAGTTCATATTGTTTGTTGTTTACAAGTAGTTTATATTGTTTTCAGAAGACTACATCAGAAGTGAAACTTTTCAATTTTAACTTGACCTTCTTTTGTGTAAATTGACTTTCAATTGCTGTAGAAAAATGCGAGAAGAAATGCTCACCCTCAGCTTTCTTCAACCATTCCTGCAGTAAATGGGTGAATTAATCTGTAGGGAGTCACCGTAGAAGATGTAGTTATTTTGCATGCTCCGAAAAACCCTTTAGTGCTGCATTTTCAGTGTTTAACTCAGCATAATATCCTTCCTACAGATAAAAGGAAATGGGTCCAATTTTCCATCCACTAATTCAATGGTATCATCAACAGGTAAATTGAAGGAAGACAAAATTTACTTTTTTGTTGAGTGAAACATAAATAAGGGTTGCCCAGAGAAGTGGTGGAGTGTCCATCCTTTGAGGTACTTTGGATCCTCACTGGACATGGTCCTGGGAAACCTGCTTTAGGTTTCCTTGATCAGGGAAGTTGGACTAGGTGATCTGTAGAGATTCTTTCCCACTCCAACTATTCTGTGGTTCTGTGAAAGCACTGGAAATAGCAGAAAATGTCTGCAGTCTTTACCTCTCATGATAGAAGTTTATGCAGTTGATGTTTTATGGAACAATAGTAGGTTTGCTCTGTCAATGAGTTCACTGTGGGAACTGTGACATATCTGGTCTGTCATACTTCAGCACAAATAAAAGAAGAAACAATAAATAACTTTCCCTCCACTGCATACTTTGTAAGAAAGAAATCTTTAACACACAGTCAAGATTTGCTAAGCAAGCAGGGCAGTGAAAGCTGAAATATTCACGAGTATTTTGATTGCTTAGGTATAGCAAGTACATGATGTTATTTGTCATCGTTTCCTTGCACTTCCCTTGAGTGATTGTCTAGAATTACCTATAATTCATTCTCTGTTTACAAATATTTTAACAATTGTGAGTAGACCAGTGCTTGTGAAGCTATTAAAATGTACTGCTGGAGTATGCCTGGACAATTCTTAGCACACTCATTCTGCAATGTGAGCTACATTCATTTTTATAACTGGTGTGAGGCTGAGTACCTCAAAGACTGGCATCTTCCTGTGGTTGACAGAAGGATTAGATGGAAGTGAATCTCTTTCCTTCTGCCAGCTGCTGCCATTTACCTATGATACATATTACTTAAAATCAAACTGTAAATGTAATCTGACATCCAAGATGCTTCAGTAAATTATTTTTACCACCAGAGGGCATTACAAATCTTTGTAGGTAAAATATGTGTCAAAATACGTATGTGTAAAACTCTTCCATGCTATTCTAGTAGGCCTTGGATACACTAACTATGTGAAACCTTTATAGTATGTATAAAACTGAAGAGAATTTTTCAAGACACTGGAAAACAATTGTGTTTTTAAATGCTAGAATAATTATTCCCTTCTGTGACATCTGCTTTGACCCAGAGATCCATGAAAACAGAAATTTCTAGTCTCGCTGCTTCTTAAATTTTGTTGCTTTCAGGAAGGCCTGATTCAGTGACCACTAAAATCAGCAAAATGCTTCCCATTGACTTCAATGGCCTTTGTGTAATCACATGGTATATTAAATCTTATTTCCAAAGCAGGATTGGTATATAAGAGTTTGAAAAAGAAAGTGATGGAGATCCCTCAACACCTAAGCTTGAAGAATTTGTCCTTCCCTAGGAACTGCACTGTGGCAAATTTCCGAGTAGATTACACACGATGTACAAGAACACAACTCTTTTGCGGTAGTGAGATCTTTATGCAGGCTAAACCGTAGAAAGAAAGAAAAAAATAGGAATATTTGTAATAGAGCTTTCCAGAGTACTAATATCCTACTGAACCCTTTCTTTTCCCTCTCTCCTCAGTCTTGCAGAAGAACTGACAGAAGAAGCTCTATGTGATGTGGCAGCAGAGTTGCAGAATGTCTGTGAGGATTATGCAGAAGCTGTATTCACCTCAGAGTTTTTGCAGCCAACATAGTAAATGCTTTTAAATTTGCCCCATTAGCAACTGCAATATCTAGCCCCAGTCTAACAATTTTATCAGGTGATCTTATTTTTCATGTTTTTTTTTTAATCTGTGTGAGATTCCATTCCGCAACTGAATTAAGTTCAACCAGGACTCTTATCAGGTTTTGTAAAACCATGATGACAATCTGCCTGATTACAATAAAGTACTAGAAGGCGGACCTTAGATTCTAGGTGTGCCATGAATTTAGCTGTACTGTGCTTCATTTTTCTTCTTTAAAATTGAGAGAATCTGACTTATCTACCTCACAAGAGAACTGTAGGCTTTAGTTTATTCTTAATAGCAAAATGCATTGAATATATCTGAAAATTGTGGTGGAAAGAATGGGATATTCTCAATATGCGTGTAAAGCCCAGCTGGAAAACTGAGGAATAAAAGCCACTGGGTTGCCATTTAAAGCTTTCAGTGTCATGCAAAAAGGATGTTGTCTGACCACAATAACAAACAGGCAGAGCTGAATTAGTGTTTTTTTTGTGGGTTTTTTTTGGGGGGGAGGCAGGGGGAGTGCAGCAATCCAAAGGAGAGTGATTCTCCTGGCACAGCCTTAAATGGATGCAACACGTAGCAGTGGCAGTACTCCTAGGCAAAAAGCCTACACTGGGCTCCTACAGTCAGCTGCCAAATGGAGGAAGCCTCTTGTTGGTTTGTTCCTTCCAATGGAAGCACATGACAGAAACTTTTCCGTCCAGCCTTTTTTTTTTTTTTTTTCCTTAAATCAAACTAAAACTTTATTATTCTACCAGCATTTAATGATCCACGTCCACATTCTTTGTAAAATTTGCTTTGAAATCAAGAGCAACAAAATGACCAATTGGCATTTCTGCAGTATTCAATTAACTTGTTAGTTTCAGATAATCAAGGTACTGGTTTGGGTTGTATCTGAAGCAAGCAATGAGTAAAAAGGTTTTATGGTAAAATTGTGGAAAGTGTGATCTCAGCCCTTAAGGTAATCTTAAAAAAATCAATATGAAAGTCAGTTTCCTTTCACAAAGTTCTTATCTCCATTAATATTTAACCTATTTCAGAAGTTTCTAACCTTCTAAAAGTGCTATCTCCTCTAATTTGAACATATAATTTTTAAGTAATTGAGTCTTTTACTTTGTAATGTTTGATTTGAAATTTATCTGTATTGATGTGGGGTTTTTTATTTCCAAGATATATAGAGGTAAGAGTATTTTTAAATCCACAAATATAAAGTCAGAAAGAATGTCATATATATTTGTATGCTTGTGAAAGTCTTTTTAATAAAATGTATTTGTTTCTTAGGACTGAGCTTATTTTTGATTTAAATTCCTTACATTTAAATCATTTAGAGTACTTGGCACCCAATGTGCTATTTCTTTGTGCCTCAGCTGTGTGCTTGTCTCTTGTGTAATAGAGATTGCAAAATTTTGATAGAAGGGCTGCCCCTCTGCACACAGCAATTTGCACAGGGTGGGAAGGGACTGACCACTGGAACTTTGAGGCCCTGTGGTGCTAACATTGATCAGAGACCTGGATGACAGTACCTACGTACTGAAATACCTCATCAAGGACAATGCAGTAAATGTAATTTCATTTTAAACTGTAGATAGTATCCTGCATAGGAGATGCAATATAGCATTCAACATTCAGTGCTTACCTTGGTTTATTTAGTGGAGACAATGTTTTTCTTACCTGGCTTTTTATGTATTCTGTAGGAAGATGGCTCTTCCCATTGAATAAACTCAGAGAGTTAATTGCTGAGAGGTGTTTTTTCAAGGACTTTTTTTTTAAAAAAAAAAAAAAAAAGGAAAATATTTTTTAATGCTTTTTTTTTGGATATGCTTAACACCACAATTACATAGGATGCATAATCTGAATTCAGAGATAATTCGCTTGGCTGATGTCTCATGAGTTACATGAGAGTATTCCTTCAAGTAAATTCTTACCATACCACATGTAACTGCAAATCTAGCTATAGATTTTAACTTTAAAAACACACAATATAGTCCAACAGCATTAAGCTTCTGGTCAGTTCTTTCCTTTTGCCCCATTTTTCCCCAAGGGCTATTCCTGTATTTGTGATGCTGCATACCCACAAATGAAGGGGTAACCCTGACAAGCTGGTGTGGATGACTGCAGGTGGGCTAGGTCAAGCTTGAGGGGACAATGTTTCCATGGCCAATGGGTCAAATCCCACGTGAAGCAATCTCCTAGTTAGGGAAGTGCAGGAGAGCCTGCAGCTCCATGGAAGAGCCAGGTGTGTGAGACCGGCCACTGCTGCAGTAATTTTGGTGTTGCTGGTCTTACCCTGTATGGGAAGTAATTGGGGTAAAACCACCTTGTGATCACTGCCACTTGAGGGTGTGTACGGCAATGTGCATACCCATTCTGTCTCTTTCTACCTGGCTCTGTGGGAAGTTTTTGATTTTTCACCTTGTTTATTTACTTCTGGGAACCTGGAGAGCTGCCTGACTTCATAGAAAGAGCTTCCCTGTGAGGCAGGGGGCCAGCCAGATGGAGGAGCAAGACCAGTCCCTGGGCTGAGCTTGGCTTGTGGAGAAGGCTGGCTCTCTGGAGGCTGCTGTAGGTAGGTTTCCTATCGGGAGTAAGTAGTGTGCCAAAAAATAAGTGGGGGAGGAAGAGACATGCATAAACAGGATGAATGAATTATGTCAGAGTAGCTCACTGTTAATGTGCAGTTCACAGGATCACAGAACAGGGGTTTTTTAGCTGTTTGACAGAAGTTATCTGTTACTATAAGAAAGAATATTTTCCCAGAACTTACAAAATACATAATGGTTTTTAGCGCTAATTCTCTGTATATCCTGAGTTATGGCCCTTCACCATGCACCAGTACTTCTTCCCCCAGCCTCTGCTTTGTACCTTTAAGCTCTCTGGAGGCAGCAGTTGGCCAAACTGTGGTGACTTGAGAAGCTGCTTGCTAGTTCTTTGGCAGGAACCGACTATCTGAATCTCCTGATAACTAGGCTGGTGTGTCAGCCGAGGTCCCTTAGGGATCTGCCTCAGTGTTGTTTTTCGTAGCTGTACAGCCTAATCCTGATGTCAGCCCAGCCTAGGTGGTTGAAGTGGATGCGGCTCTGGTCTGAACAGGCTGGAGCACTGTGGAGCAGCCTGCACTATGGAATAAACTTGCATCAGTGGGTCAGGGATGGGCCAGCCCTTTGGTCTGTCTCTGCCTGCTCACTGTGTAATACGAATTAGGCTGCCTTCTTTTTCATACTGTGCTTCATTAGATACTTGTTTATACAGAGAAAAGATTTATCTCAATAGCTCTTGAACTTTCCTCATTGAAATGAAAGCCTTGCTAGCCAGTTATCACTTAGTTACAGCAGTCTAAATGCTTCTTCTGTGATGTACTTGTCTCTGAGCATAGGGTAGTCAATGCAGTTATCTTGATATAACCAAATGCTGCATTAGAGAGCAAGAGAACAGTCAGTCTTGATGAAGTCATGGGCAAAAAGGCTGATCTGTAACAAAATTTGCATTTATTTTTTTCTGATACTGCATCCTTTGTCTTCAAGGAAGCTTCTTGCAATCTTTCAATGGGCAAAACAAAAGCGTGAGACATCTTTCTAGCATCCACCTGACAGAAATTTAGTAATGTCTAACTTCTGCAGGATTTAATCTCTCTTGGGAACCCAAGTCTCACTTATTCGTTGCACTGATTTAATTTTGTACGATCACCTAATCCTCTCCTCCTTCTGTGAATCAAACAAAATTGGAACTGTTATTAAGGTTCAGTGTGTTTGGGTTGTGGGGTGGGAAGTAGTCTTTAATTGTTCCAGCATGTTCTTGTAACGCCATGCTCCTGCATTTTTCAGTAGGAATTAAGAGCTCAGCAATTATCAGAATTTGGCTTTTGGTTTCTGGCAATCTTTAAAGAGACTGGGATGTGTGATGTAAAGCCTGAGGGTCAATGCCCTTGCAGGCAGCTGGACTAGAACTAATTCACTGTCAAGGTGTTTTTAATGGAATCTCTTTTTGAGATTTCTAAATGTGGTTGAAATCTAAGCGAAATGTTATGCTTTCTAAAATTGCTTATAGTTTTTCAATTGGAAAAATAAACTTGATCTGAATATGAACCTAAGTAGAGTCAATTAAATTACTGGCAAGGCAGATTCTGCTGCCCTCCTTTCTACCATCTCCAGCTTTACTTTCCTGCTTCTGAAGCCAGACTGAATATTTAGGCTGAGGAAAAAAACAAACAGGTAAAGAGAGCTGGACTAGCAGTTGGGAGGTAGAGAACAGGTAATCTGTTCTCTATTCAAAAGAGGAAGGAAGAAAAGATGGGTTGCCTTTGTTGTCAGGGCTTCTGACCTGCATTTCTAGCTGTCTTAGAAGCACATGGTTAACATGGGTTATATCAGCAGGAGGTGGCACCATCAATTTTGATTATTAATAAACCTCTTAAAATCTACATGCTGACTCTCTTTCTTCTTCCTTTTTCTGTTTTTAATTCACTGTAGCACTTTCTATCCCTTTCTGATCTGGCAGAGAACAAGAAGTCCACAGTGTTAATGAAGTATAAATAGCATCGTTCAAGTGGACTCAAGCCGAGATGCTCAAGGGACCAAGCTGAGCTATTCCTTACAAAAAACTTAAGTTTTCTCTTCCAGTGTCCTGAAATCTATCCGAACCCAGAACTAACTGTACAAAATGAGGACTGCCCAGAGAACCATACAAACCTTAAAAGAAATGTCATCAACTAGCACATTTGTTCCCTCCCTGACACCTCTCCTCCTTGCTTCTCCAACAACCCTTATTAGCATAGTTTATTCTGTGCTAGCTCCTGACCCTCAAAAGCATGTCTTAGCGCCTTACTTTTTTGCTTTGTAGCAAAGCTGCCCATGGCGTATTTTGTCTGTGTCTAAACCCAAAAGAGCTGTCTTCTAATCCAGGCTTCAATCTAGTCTAAATACCTGAAGAAGAGGCTTAGACCTTATCTGCAGTGAGCTGGGAAGAAATATTGTATGTTGTCGGTTTTCCTGAGAACAGGGAAATGTGAGAGGAAGGGATGTTGCTTAACCCTAAAGCATGA